GCAAATGTCATTTACTGAAGCTCATTTGTTTCAGTTTTGGTTGGAGTTCTTGCTTGCCTACTGTGGCATAGATTTTAATTTCCTATTTGGAGTGACCCATTGTGCATTCTGTAGTATTGGAAAAAATAAATTTCCAGCATAGAAAATAATTACAGCTTTTCTTCTGTTAAATTGCTTAAAAAGCCTTATTGAGATATAATTTGTATACCATAAAATTCATCCTTTTAAAGGGTATATACACTTCGGTGGTTTTTAATATATTCCCAAAGTTGTGCAATCATCATCACTATCTAGTACTGTAACATTTTTGTCACCTGGAAAAGAAACCCTGCACCCATGAGAAGTTTCTCCCCATTCTTCCTTCTCCCCTACCCCTGGAAGTCACAAATTATCTGTCCATGTCCATGGATTTTCCTATTCTGGATATTTCATATAAATGAATCATAGAATATGTGACCTTTTGTGACTGACTTCTTTCACTTATTATATTTTTGAGGTTCATCCATGTTGTCACATGTGTTAATACTTTGTTTTTTTACTGTTGAATAATATTCCCTTGTATGAATATACCGCACCTATTTCACCATTCATGTGTTGATCGATATTTATATTGTTTCTACTTTTTGACTATAATGAATAATGCTGTCATGAACATTTATGTAGAAGTTTTTGTATAGGCATGTTTTTGCTTCTTTGGTGTAGAAATCTAGAAGTGGAATTGCTGGGTCATATGGTAATTTGATGTATAACATTTTGAGGAGCTGCCACGCTGTTTTTTAAGGTGGCTGTATGACTTTGCAATTCCACTAGCAATGTATGAGAGTTCCAGTTTCTCCACATCTTTGCCATCTTTGTTATTGTCTGTTATTTTAGCCATCCTCATAGGTATGAAGTATTATCTACCGGTTTTGATTTGTATTTCTTAATCACTCTGATGTTGAACATCTTTTCATTTTCTTGTTGGCTATTTGTTTGTCTTCTTTGGGGAAATGTCTATTCAAATCTTTTACCCATTTTAAATTGATTTATTTGTCTTTTATTGTTGAGTTGTAAGAATTTTTTTATATATTTTGGATACAAGTTCCTTATCAGTTAAATGACTTGTGCATATCCTCTCTGTTAATTTTTGTGCCACATTTGTTAGGATTTTGATACTACCTTTGAAGTAACCTTTTTCTAGATAAGCATCATATGGTCTAGGGACAAGATGGCACACACTTTTCCTGAGAACCTGCTTGATGCCAGACACTGTGTTAAGTTCTTTGCACACATTAGCATGCTTAATTCTTGTAACAGCATTACACAGTTGGTATGATCCCTCTATTCGAGGTAAAGGGAATGGAAACTCTGAGAATTATGCAATTTGCTCAAAGTGACCCAATTAGAAAGTGGCAGAATATGCATATGAATCTATTTCTTCTTGCTTCCTAAGTCCATTTATTTCTCTTTTACTCTAATAGTTGTTTGAGTAAGATCAATGTCTTGAACAATCATCTGTAGTATAATTCGTGTTGGATAAATATGTGTTCTATTCCTCTGTTTCTACCAAACGTCTTATTAATAAGTTATGTATTAAATGTCTTGAGTCTCATCCATTTGATACATTTTCTACCCTACGCTCCCTCGTGCCCTTCCTCCTACCTTCTTTACTTCCTTCTTTGCTTTTTTTCCCCTTTCTTTTCTTTCCTTCCTGCCCTCTTTCCTGTACAGGTAGTTATTTAGCTCTTACTATGTTCTAAGTGTCAGGATAAAATAATAAATAAAGCACAGTCTGGGGCTTACTCTAACAGGTGAAACAAACTACAAATAAGTAGATATGGATTAACTTAAAAAATAATGTCAAATACTTTAATGCTAAAAATGATAAAAGCTGTTAAGAAGAAAACAGTAAATGAGTGGATGGAGAGTGGTGGGTTTTCTATTTTAGATGCAGTCACTAGGGAAGACCCAGATGAAGTGAGTAGAGAGCCACATGACAGTCTGTGGGTAGAACACTGTGGAAAGAAAGTCCCCAAGGGAAGAATATGTTTGTTGTGACTGACAACAGACAGGAGACCAGTGTGGTTCAAGGACTTTTATTTTTTTCCTACATTTAATTTTTTTAATTTTAAAGGAATTTATTTTTCAATTGATTGTACATTTTTATGGGATGCAGAGTTATATTTCAATACATGTGTACCATGTGTGATGATCAAATCAGGGTAATTAGCATATTTATCATTGCAAAATTTACCATTTCTTTGATCTCTTCTCTTTAGCCATTTGAGAACTGTCTGACCAGCAAGTGGGTGAGAGCTAGTATTTGCATGGACATAATTTTACCTAAGAAAAGCTCCTGTCCCTAAATCATATCTAAAATATGTTTAAACATGTCTCTGAAAATGAATGGAGTTGATAGTATTTGCCATACAGTGCTGACACTATTTACTCATGCACCCTGTTACTGTTGATGAAGTTATCTATTCAGGGGAGCTAACATGCACAGTGGCTAGATAGGAGCTTAGACTGGGGGACTTGATTGCCACTTAATAGTTGTGGAACTCTGTCTTGTTTTTTCAACTTTGAAATGGATATATTAGTTTGATAGGACTGCCATAACAAATAACAGAGAGTGGGCGGCTTAAACAACAACAATTTATTTCCTCATAGTTCTGGAGTGTGGAAGTCTGAGATCAAGGTGTCAGCAGGGTTGGTTTCTTCTGAGGCCTCTCTTCTTATAGATGGCTATCTTCTCACTGTCTTCACAAGGTCTTCCTTCTGGGAGTGTCTGTGTTCTAATTTTCTCTTCTTAGAAGGACACCATCATATTGGATTAGGCCCACCCTAATGACCTCATTTAAACTTAGTTACCAATTTTGGGCCGGCCCGGTGGCGCACTGCTACAGTGCGCCGCTTGGGAAGTGCGGCGGCGCTCCCGCCGAGGGTTCGGATCCCACATACAGACCGGCCGCTCACTGGCTGAGCGAGGAGCGGGGGCAACACCGAGGGTTGCGATCCCATTGCCGGTCCCGGTCCGGTACGGGCGCGACACTGAGGGTTGCGATCCGTTGCCGGGCACGAAAAAAGACAAAAAGACAAAAAAAAAATAAAAATAAATAAAAATAAAAATAAAAATAAACTTAGTTACCAATTTAAAGAACCTATCTCTAAATGCAGTCATGTTCTAGGGTGTCAGAAGATTAACACTTCAACATATAAATTTAGGGGGATATAATTCAGCCCATAACATAGGAAAAGCAATAGTATCTACCTTCTAACGTGGTTTTGAGAATTAATTGAGATAACAAATAGAAAACCTTAAAGCAGTACCTGATACATGGTGAGTGTTGCAGAAGGGTGCTATGAGAGTATTGTTATCCTACTAATATCCAGGTACACCTAGGTTTCGAGTTTGTTGAGGAAAGAAGTCCAGAGATTGTGCCTTTTAATTTTATTATTATTATTATTATTATTTTATTACTTAAAATATCCCTAGGATATTGTTGTCCCTAGGATAATCTTCACCCTTTATAGGTACTCTGTGCATGTTTGTTGAATTAAAACTTCATTCTTCTCACTAGCAGCGCACTCTTCTGTATCACGATCACCTTCTCTCTCAACCAGCTCTGCACCACACACATCATTCCTTTTCCTCCTACCTGGATCTTGGATTTCGACTTTAGACATTTAATTAGCATGCTGAGCAAGAACTGAATTTCTTTTTTCTAGATTCCTTTTTTCTAGAGAGCTTTTGGAAGTTCCGTTCACATAAAATTTCAACAGTTGCCTTGCTTTTGACATACATCGATCTTGCATGCTAAAAAACCTTCAAGACTTCCATTTTCCAACTTGTTAGGGCAACCAGCATGTATGATTCCCTCTCTAGAATTTAGTCGGGCCAAAGGGGGAAGTCTCCTTTGGACATGAATCTAGTATAGTGTTTCTGAATTCATCGTCCTAAAGCAGGGCCGGGTTTATTTCTTCCCAAATGTTTCACTTTTGAAGTCCTCAATCCTTCCATGACGATGGAAACAACCCCATCTGGCAACTGAGAATTGACCTCAGTCACTGTAAAGGAGAGAGTCTCACAACACATTTTCTAAGAACTTTTCTTAAGAAATGAAGGAAAAACTGATAGGGAATTTGAGGTAAGGCCAAAAACAGGTGTTAAAAGGACATTTAAGCAGGCTGAGGGATTAAGCCACCACAGAGATCAGTCTTAGCTTACTTTGCAAGCCATTTTTATTCTTTTATTGCCATCACATATCTGTTTTGCTGCAAAACACAGAGAATTAATTACCATTAAGCTGCACAATTAATTTCCTTTAAGGCATGTAACATTTTTTAAAGAATTCTGAAAACCCGTTGGAAAGATGAATTTCATTTCCTATGTCATAAATTTGTTGCCAGTGGAAAAGCCAGGATAACGAAAAACAAAATCAGTTTTTGTAAAGGAAAACACTGTTTTTATTTCATGGTATATCTAAACATCACTTGCCAACTTTTCATGAAGTAAAATTGGCATACCCCTTCAATATATGTCTTGTGTGTCTTTATAGTTTTAATTAGTTATCTTTTGCCCTTTCCCTGTAAGTGACATTTTTCTTTGATCTGAAAAGTAATGCACAAATGTCTGCACTGCCAGGACATAAATTGGAATTTGAAAGTACTGGACCATTGACTCATATTTGCTATACGACTATTGCATTTATCCTCTTTAACTGATTTATTAGGTCTATAGTCTAGAGTATATTTTATTCTGCTCCAACAGCTATTAATGAATTCTTTGATAGTGGCTTTTTGTCATATACATCTTTCTTGGTTCAGGAAACCTAACCTGTTGGAATATTCTGTTGAAGAGTTTGCTTTTATATCTAGTGACATTTATCATTATCTAAGACCAGCTGCCTGACTTCTCTTTAGTGCTCTGTTTATGGGGTTTGAACGTCTATAAATGGAAACACTAGCTAACCAGAAATTATCGCCAGGGCTTTCTGATAGTGTCCTAGGCTCTCACAACTTGGAATGTCCTGCAGTATCTAACATGTAAGCATGTCAAATTATTTTCTAGACAGAATCTGAACCTCTGTTTCTCTCTCTCTCTTCCTCTCCCTGTCTTTCTCTCTCTCTCATTTACTTTTAACATGGAATTCAAAACGCATGAAAAAAGAAGCTTATTAAACAAGAATTTAGAGGAGAAACTGACGGTAAGACTTGTGAAATTTAGCATACACAGATTTATAACGTACTTGACTGGGTAAAAGAGCAGCAGTCACAGATTGGAAAGGTTGTACTAACCAGCCTGTATTTCCATGTTTTGCTAGTCAACAACCTTGAAATTAATGAGTTCCATGGGCTTTCCTGAAAACAATGTAATAAGGTTACACATAAAATGTTACTATTAGAATGTGGGCACATTTGATTTAGTTAAATGATGTGCTTTACCACTGTTTTATAAACTGGGATCCATTTATTTTGAGCCCTTCTTGTGATGGCCTCAGTACTGGAAGATTGTTTTATTTATTGATATGAAGCTTAGCAAGTGTTCAAAGTCCAGTTTCTCTCTGAAATACCAGGGATATCTGTCAAGGAAAATATATAATTATTACAAAATATTTTAACCCTTTATAGAGTAAGTTTAATTAACTTCATTATAAGGATAAAGTTTACCTGATGCTAAGCAATTAAATGTCAATGAATAGTAGTGGTCACTTATATTTGCTCAGACACAAGATATACTATAACCTTGAGTAGAATGTGCTGTCTGTAGATCATCTGATTGGTATATGTAGCTAATTATGTTTGGAAATTTACTGTGGATACAGAGTTAACATTAGAATAGGGCATGACTAATTTTAATAGCAGTGCAAATTATAAAAAGTAAAAACATACTGACTATAATAATACTGAATTTGTGGGAATGCGTTGCTCTTATGTCTGAAGTTGAAGTTTATACACTATTAATGGTATTAAAACTTGAAAAATGGAAAAAAAGAACTGTACTGGGTTGAAAATTCTTGGTGTATTAGAATCCCAAGGTCTTAAAGAAATATATTGAATAAAATATAACTTTTTCTTAAAGAATCTAGGTCATTATTTTGAATATAAACTGTGGACCTCTGCTCTAGATGATTGTCCAAACATGTAATGGCCACAGACTATTTTGCTTTTTAACTGTTTTGAAAGGCTGTGTGTCAATGTAGAACTAACCAGGGATTTTGATTCAGAAAGGCCTGGGTGAAAATTCTCACTACACAACTTCTAAATTTAAGATTATGGGATTTTGGTTAACCTTTCTGAGTCTCAGTTAACTCATTTGCAAGATGGGGAACAGTAGTACTTAATTTGAAGGCTTTTGTGAGGATTAAAAACTGTACTGTATGTGAAGTCAGAGCCTGTGCCTATTTTTAAACTGTTTTTGTCCTGACTTACTAAAAAGCACGTGCCCAGAGTATTTAATATAGAAAGAGAAAGCTGAAATGCATTTTAAAGTAAAAGGAAAAATCAGATATGCTAAACATAAAGGCTTAGTGGTCATAAAACCTTTATGGAACCAGATAGGAAGTAAATAAATACACAAATAAAGAGTTGCTATGAATTAGTGTGAAATTTGATCCTGAGCTTCCTGGCAATCTTTTCCAGGAAGTTTTGCAAATATAGGTGGTGGACATGGGGCAAGGGCACAAAATGAAAATGGTCTTATGTTATTGAAGTAATCTGATGCATTAACATTTCACTTTCTGGAAATCAGACATTTTGCCTCTCCGCCTCTACCTTGAACACAGCTGTAAATCTAGAAGTGACCAAAAACCTCTCCTTAGAGGAAGTAGCTGTCATAAAACGCATGAACATTACTCTGTTGCAGAGGCCTAGGCCTAGCCTCTGATTAACTTCCGGAAGATCAGGAAAAAATATGATCCAGATCAGAAGGTGTGAGACAGCCAAGCTCCACTGAGAAGAGACAGTTCTCAGGGAACATGTGAAAGCTTGGTATCTAGAGCAATTTCATGTACACCACAGAGCTATGTAACTCAGACACCTTTCAGATAGAGGAATTCTCATGACACTGTGTTAAGAAGAAAAGATTAGCTTATGCTCAGTATTTTCTATTTAAGAAAATTGGAAAATATATATCTGTGAAAGTTTCTGATAAAAATTATTTTAGCTAAACACTTTGGCTATTTATGCAGATAAACATCCAAAAATTTAAATTCATGGAGCATTGTGTTCCTTACTAACACCAGTGTAATATAGTCTGACTGTCTAGGTTGCTGAAGATAGTTTAAAATGTATTTTTGTGGAGTTCACTATGTTCTGAAAATTATTCAATTTATTTATTCTAAACAGTAAAGTTTTTAAAAGTGTGGTTTTTAAGAAGGGAGAATATCTTGCCATTGGAATATTTAATAATATTTAAATATGTGTACTTTATCATATTGTTGAGTTATAAGCATCTTGTTTAAAATTAAAGCTGTGTTTCTCATAAGGATCTTTATCATGAAAAATGTTATCGTATATATGACATAATTAAGAAACGTGCATGGTTGACTTTATTTGATAAACATTTCTAAAGTAAGACCTATATCAAACAGGTAAGAAAATCAACAGTCTGCAGGATTTTAAAACTCAGTTTATTCTACCCAGAGAAATAGACAAAAAAATGAAACAGAATTCTTTATTGTACATACAGTGGAAATCTTACCTTACCCTTGGTGAGTGAATTGCTACTTTTAAGTACTGACATTTTCCCTTGAATTTATTGCTGTTTGGTGATTTAAAAGTAAAGATTCTTGGGTGCTTATCAATTGAAAACACTTCTTTTACATCAATTCATCAACAGATAATCAGAAAAAAAATGATTCTCAAATTCTTCAAGATTTCCTAAATCTACCAATACAAATGAAATTTGTCATAAACTGGTTAATATTAGTTCAATTTTTCAAACATGGAAAAGAAAAATCAATTAGCATTGACTTAGAAGGATATTTCTACCCCTTGAAAAAACAGCTATTAAGCCATGTTGAATATCTCAGTCATTGATTCTGCAAAATCAGTTTACATTAAGGCTAATTTTTGTGGGAAGTGGTGGGGGGTGGAGAAAGGGAGGGAATTATTTTATAACAATACATCTCAGTTTGGTTAATTCCACAATAATTGGTGTTGGGGCTGAATGAATCTTTTGTTTTTCCTATCATGTCTTTTTCAAACTATGTTCCAAGGAACTCTGATTTTTCAAACTGCTCTATAAAAAGTGGTTCTGGTCTATGCTCAAGAATATTCAGGTAACACTGTTTAGGGAGTGCACCATACAGTACATTTGCCCTTGGAGACTCGTATTGTGTTTTAGCATACTAAAGGCTGTGAAACACTCTGAAAGTTTATCTAGTGTTTCTTAAACTCACCTGTGAATGTTAATGCATTTTAATGTGTGTGCAGTAACTGTGAATTCTGAGAAACTAGTTTTCACTGGAACATACTTTAGAAAATGATGTTTTATCATATGAATTAGTAGTCTGATTGTATTTATGAGTTACATTTTCAGAATAATCATACATAGAACAATAAATTCTAGCTGGGTGTCATTTGTATTTATAACATGAAGTTACTTCTAGTTTTAAAAATAAGTACTATTTACTATACGTTTCTATTTAGTATGTTTTAATAAATAAGTAAACCTCAGGCAATAAATCCTGACCACTCTCCAAACGACTTTTCTTTTAGATTATTAAATGCATCAACAAAGAATTTCACTTATGTTTATCTTCAACTGAGATTTTATAATGAAAAGAAGCAACTCATGCATTAATATAGTAAAAATGGTTGTGTACCTGAAGACATTCTGACATAATAATGTTTTCTTTCTCTTAGAGAGGATAAGAACAGATTTTATGCATGCATCTAATAATTTCTATCACATTAGTATAATTTGTCTCAAGAGACAGTTTTATCTTCCCGAGTAACAAATTTTCAATATCAAAGAAATAATGAAAAGAAGAAGATCCAATTCATTTTATGTTGAAACTTGGTGGTTACAAATCAACACAGTAATCAATATCTGAATGTCACAAATATGGTTTCCTTGAGTAAAAGTAACTCTAAGATTGAGAAAGAAAATATGTCATCTGGCAATTTTTAAACAGAATATATCTGCTATAAGGTGCTAAAAGATTGTATTTTAAGTAATTGAAATTTGAACTTTTATATTTAAAAAACTTTAACTTAACTTGAATTTGAGGATGAAAGGCTCATCCAATGAAATGTAAATTTACTTAAAATCTCACAATGCAGCATTCTTATCAATTTCAGAAAAAGGCATTCATACTGCCTATTTTTGAAAAGAAAAATGAAATTGAACTGTGGGTAAAATGTAAAAATACAAAAAACTATATGTTTAAAAATTTTGTGGTAATTCACTGAAGGGTAGCTCCTTAAATAATATTAAATTAGTTATTAACTTATAGCTTCATTAATAGAAATAAAATTAATTACTTTCTAAGAAGAAATCTGTCCGCAAACAAATAATGTGGGATTATCGCTTTGGTTGTAATTCCTGATGTCATTATCTGATGACAAGTTTGAGTTTTGTTGAGAAACATCTTCTGAGATGTGAGCTGTTGCATATTAGGTAGAAATGTCCTGAGAAAAAAAACAAAAAGAGACTTTCAAATCAATACACATTTCTGAGCACTTATTTTGAACAAGACACAGTACTAGAGGTATAGTGGAAACACACATGATAAAGAAAGTCCTAGCTCTTAAGGCAATTATTATCCTTTGATTATTTTTAAGTTTTAGTAGCTTCGAAATATTCTAAATGTACAGAACATAGACATCTCAATTTCTCACATAGGCTCGTGATAACAAGTCTATAATTATTCATCAAAATGTCTTAACAATGGGAACAGCTGTAAAGCATTTTATGCAGTAACATATTTTATTGCATCATAATATCTATCTACTTATCTATTTATTTTTCTTTCTATTTATGTCTAGAGTCAATGGTAACAGGCACTCAGTAGGCCCTGACATACCTGACAAAAAAGTTTCTACTGCTGATGTTTCTGATGTGTTATCTAAATATTATTTTCAGTGTGGCTTGAATATTGTCTCTGATATATACATCATTCCTTATAAGACAACTTCATTGATGGAGTTTGGATGTGTTGTTCCCTCCAAAACTCATGTGGAAATTCGATCTCCAATGTGG